GTCTGAATTTCCAGCATTGTAGGTATTTGGCACTACATTTCAACACACTAATTTTTCCAAGAGTCACTGACAGCATCAGGGTAACTGCATCAGAAGAGGGGTGCTAAGATAGAGACTGAGGGCTTCAGTCCTACCCCTAAGCCTCTATTAACTCTTTCCCAAAGCTACCAACAGACAATCCAAATAAAAACAAATGTTTGCTTTAAAACACAGCTTCATGGTAAGTCCCCTAAGCTCCTGCCACATAGGGATTCTGGAGCCGCCACTGTGAACACCACACTGAGGACCAGTGAGACATTTAGACTGAGCCCTGTTCATCAGTCCACACGCCCATCAACACCCTAGCACCCCCACACTCTCACCTTCCCCCATGTGAGTTGAGTCCCTGCCCAGGTGGAAATCACTGATGTGCTCCAGGTGCTGGAGAGCCCAAAAAAGAGTGGGAGTTTCCTAGAAGCCAGGGGAGGGGAGGTGCGTGGTTCTTTCCCAGTACGGTGCATGGTTCCTTTAGAAGATCATTTTAGAAGATCATGACCTGACCGAGCGTGGTGACTCACACCTGTAATCCCAGGACTTTGGGAGGCCGAGGCAGGTGGATCACAAGGTCTTGTGCTGGTTCTTTCCCAGTATGGTGCATGGTTCTTTCTCACCAGCAGATTTCAATCAGAGTCACCTCAATCCATCAAAACTGCTGTAAAAACGTTGACTTTTCATGTCCTTCCTCTCAAGAAGTCTCCCTGAGCCCTCTGCGAATTTTCCCACACCCTCATCAGCAACTTCAAACTTCAAGTCATTGTTGGAAAGGCCACACTTGCCTGGTAGAGCACGTCTTTGCCAAACTAAAAATTAAGATTGGAGAAGGTGACACTCTTTTGAACAAGGGATGCCTACTTGCCTCATCTAAAGGGGGTCACTCAAATGTTTGTTCCCAGAACATCAACAAGAAAATAGCAGTGGGTAGCCACTAACAGAGTTCTTTCTCTCCCTTAACAAAAACCAAGCTGAGCTTCACTAGAAACCAAAGAAACCAGAATTTAAACCAAGGTCTTCCGATGCCAACCGTTTTGCTCTTCTAGCCATGCAACAAGGGTTTCCCAGTTGTAAAATGATGGTGGTGGGGGCAGGTGGAAGTATATAACAGATGAACCCTTCTCAAAATTGTAGAACATAGACCCCAGGCCCATAAGAATGGACTTGTGTAGACAAACAATTTATTGAGAAAACTAGGGTAGGGACATATGAAGCAGGAGGAAGAACCCACCGACCAAAATGGTGGAACCCACCAGCTGTCCAAGGCCATCCAGTGCCAGCCACCACCACCACACAGGCAGCCGCCAGGGAGCACTACTTCCTTCTTTCCCATGTCATTTGCATCCTTTTTTCCAACCCCAGGACTTCGTGGATGGAATGCAGTTCTGCAGCAGCGGCTTTCAAGGACTTGACATCCACCCTCCAGCTGGGCCCCTCTGGATCCTGGGGGATGTCTTCATTCGACAGTTTTACTCGGTCTTCGACCGTGGGAATAACCGTGTGGGACTGGCCCCAGCAGTCCCCTAAGGAGGGGCCTTGTGTCTGTGCCTGCCTGT